AACAGAACACATACTATAATAATTTACAAAACAGATGAATAAATGAAAAACTTGCATTGAAATATAAAGTAGTTTTAAAGGAAAAACCTGAAGATGATGCTACGCATCGAAACATGTAGTAATGAAGGCGCAGTATTGTAACATCGTAGTAATGATGAATAGCGCAAATTTTAAATTTTAACATCTGTAAATAAAGTTTGTGTATAGACCTGAATTATATTATATATTTTCTTTAACTATAATTACCCAGTCTTGGGAACATCTTCAGTCATGTAATAACTTGAATGTATATCTCTTCTTCTATATATGGTTCCCATTTGTTACTTTATCTCTAGGAGTGAAGATGGTCAGTTGAAAGAGCTACCCTGTCGACATGTTGATACTGGAATGGGGCTGGAACGACTTGTTGCAATACTTCAAGGAAAGAGGTCCAATTATGACACTGATTTATTTCAACCTCTGTTCAAAGCTATTCATAAGGTCAGCATTGCATGTTATTTCATTGTTTAGTCTTAGAAAGCATGTGGAAATGGTTATCATTATTCTGTTAAATTCCAGTATTTATGTTAAACACATGCATACATTCACATGGTTTCATGTAACGTGTTTTTATTTTATGAAGAAGTTATCTTTTAAAGCAGTGTGCAATTTGTGAAGTGTGGAAAACATTCTTCGGTGTTGTCACGTATTTATTTTAAAATTGTTAGATCAAGTAAATTTATGTGCCAGTAGTGCTGTTGAGGACTTTAACTGAGGGTGTATTGAGTTGGAGTCTGCTGGATTACAAGCCATCCTGACTGAAACATTATTCAATTGTCCAGGAGTATGCCAGGCACTTTCTGATGTGTACCTTGGTATAGATCACAACCATATTCTTCCAAATTCTCATCTACATTCCACTTATTACAAGTTAATTACTCTTTGATTTATTGCTGTATAACCTCTCTAGTTGAAAAAGAGCCTTAAGCAACCTATGAATCAGTCTATTTCAATTCCTCTTATACCATGCAACAAATAAAAAAATTGTTGTATGTGGTATCTCCTGAATGTTTAACTTGAATTTTGCTTTAAATTTAATTTTGAGCTGTGCCTCTTGCCCCTTCACTATTGTTTCCAGATGATTTTGGGAAGTCTTGCCAGAAATTTAATTTTTAAAAATGATGTCCATATTCTCACAAATAATTTCATCAAGTCAGATTTGTATAACATAATAAATTGAACTAATTATGTTGTACACGCTTTATCCAAAATGTATTTTGATCTTTGAATTGCAGTTGAAAGTTTGTATAACTATTTTTGTTTTATAAATAAGAGGATTGTGATTAGATTTTATGTAGAAGGTTCAATATTAAATTTCAACAAAATGTGTAGAAATAGCAAGGAAATTAGCCAATGAAATTCAGATTTGGGATTTCATGATTTGTAAGCTAAATTAAATTTCATCAGTGTAGTTTAGTAAGCACATTCAGTGTTTAGTTTAATGAAAATTTAACTGGATTGCTTTTATGCATACATTTGGTCAGTAATACAATATTTGTAAGTTTTTGTAAACTTTGAACAAAATGGAACCCAAATGATGTTTTTGTACAGTTTGGAGCTAATCTTGTTTATACTCCCTGACTGACAAGCTAACTGCATAGAGCAGGGTTTTCCTTAAGAAGCTAATAGTTGCTCAAACCTTGTAAATCCTGCCTTACTCTGTTTTAGAAAGTCCAAGGGACTTCATTAAAAATACACTGCATAATCTCAATTGTAATTGCTGTATCTTGTTCAGTTTTCTAGGAATGTTCCAGTGTATCAGGGTCAGTTTGATGAGGAAGATACAATGGGCTTTGATACAGGATACAGAATACTGGCAGATCACGCCCGAATGATGACAGTTGCTTTAGCAGATGGCATGTTTCCAGATCAAAAGTGAGTAACTGTTTGTGTTATGTATAACATGTGTACGTGAATGTATTCTGAACTGCATGCATTTCAGTATTTAGTGTGTCCATCTGTTTATCTTTTGCAGCTATAAATTACGCCGTGTTATGCGAAAAGCAATGCTTGTATCACAACAGAAATTTGGAGTTGAATGTGGGCTATTAACTGAATTAACCAATTATGTGGCAGATTCTCTGGGTGATGCATATCCAGAAATTGTACATCGCCTCAAGCAGGTATGTTTTCTGTATTGGAAATATTTAATATCAAGAAAACATAATTAAATATTGTATACTTTATAGTCCTGTATAATTTCAAGTAATTGTTAATCCCTCTCTGAAAATAAATTAAAATTTGTTAATTTAAAATTCAAAGTAGTAACAAAGTCTTGTGAGTGTAAAAAATTCTGATAATTCAAATTAGAAATGCACAGTAAGCACTTTGCAGTTTATAGGAATAGTTGTGCATTCCTACAAGTTTACAAACACACTGTTAGTGGTTTATCTTGAGTGAATTGACTCATGTAGAAGAAGCTTAGCATACAAGTAGGCCTCTTGGAACTAGTCAGAAGGAAAGAAATGTCTATTTGTTTGTATGTTTGCAAAAGAGAACCTGTGTTGCTTGTTTTGTAAATCTTTTTGTTTGTGGTTGCTATTGAAGGGTGTGAAACTGTGTACCATTATCATATTCTGTTCCTATATGTTCATCTTTTGATGTATCGGCAGTCTTATTGGCTTGGCTTTGTATGGTGCCTTGGCAGAAGTTAAAAAAAAGAGTATGTAAAAAGTTGTTTCATTTAATGTCAGTATTAGTCAGTGAGTTATTTTATTTATTTATTTGTTTAAGATTCAACTCATCGTCAACCATGAAGAGGAGGTACTTCGTTTACTTCGATTAGGAGCTGCAGTCGACTGGCAGGAAATAGTGAGTGTGAAACCTGAACTCTCTAACTTGGATATAGTGGAGATGCCAGGCCTTATAGCAGGGTATCATGAACTTCGAGCATATGCTAGATCAGCTTCAGTGAATGAATCACTTGTAGCGAGAAAATCTACTGTACCATCTGCAGCAATCAGGTTTGAGGAAAAATGTATTGAGAAGAAGATAAAGGAGAATACTGAATTATTTGAAAATAGCATAGGTTCAGCTAGTGTAATGATACCAGGTAAATTAACATTTAAATTGTATGATACTTATGGTTTGGAAGAGGATGTTATAATAGAACTGGCCAGAGTAGAAGGTTTCCAAGTGGATGTAAATGGATTTAGGCATTTATTAAATGCAGCTAAAGTTCAGTCAAAGGAAAGTTTCAGATCTGAAGCAGAAAATGAACAGATGCAGCAAATATTTCACCAGCTTATAAAACTGGGTTTGAATTTCACTGAAGACACTCAGAAGTACTATTACAAGAAAGAAAATGACAAGTATGTATTCCCTCCTGTGAAATGTAAAGTGAAAGCTATAATTGTGAGTGGGAAGATAGTGTCAAGAATTGGGCCAGGAACACAGTGCAGTGTTGTTTTAGACCAGACTAATTTTTACCATGAAGCAGGCGGACAAGCCAGTGACAGTGGGCAGTTAGTGATGAAGGATGGAACACAATTTCACGTAACTGATGTGACAAATTATGGCGGATATCTTCTCCATCACGGCTCTGTCAACAAAGAAGGTGACTTACAAATTGTTGTTATTTTAAAGTTATTTACAATTTTAATTTTCATACTCCATTAATTTTTCTGTGCTAAATCCTTTCCATTTTTACCCTTCTGCCCATAAGTGATTTTCTTGTGTCTGTGTCCACTCTTTTCCTATTTTCTTTTGTATGTCTTCTTTTGCTTGGTTTCTGCACCTTGGCATTCTTCTTGTCAGTGGTTATTTACTCAACAGCTTCATTGTTTCAGCTTCTGTGCTCTGTGAATTGGGAAGGATACAGGAAAAAGCCAGCATGGCTTATATCAAAGTACAGCATATTGTGCTGTAGATTCCTGAGACTAATATGTTACTGATATTGCAGGGAATGATATTTGTGTTGGAGACATTGCAACAGCTGAGGTGAATGGAGATGATCGACTGGGCAACATGAGGAACCACACAGCTACTCATCTGCTGAATGCTGCTCTCCGTAAAATCATTACCGTTACCTACCAGAAGTCGAGCCATGTGACAGAATCCAGCCTTGTGTTTGATTTCTCTGTATATGGAGAGACATTTTATGTACAGAATGTTGTAAGTTACTTTCATTTGGAGGGATGTATAATTAGACCTTTGATTTTCTGTTATACATTTTCTTTTGAGAAGAGACATCCTAAAATTGTAAAATATAAAAATATTATTTGGAGAAATGTGTGGTTGAGCCTTGGATGTTCAGGCAATGCCAAAAAGTTTGTGGATTTCTTCAGTAGCTGCTGAATGACAGTATGTGTGTGTCTTCATGTTAGAGCT